AAAATAGAATAAGAGTTGACCATTTCCGTAACACCATGCCCAAAGCTAAGATCTCCTGTCGCCGACGTGGGATATAATAAATTGTGTTCTTTATGAATTTATTAAATTAGTGAATTCAATTTTTGACCTCAATTTCAGGAATATTTGTCTTTATTACGATGAAGTTTTATGGCTTAGGCTACGCTAGAATTCGTTGAGATAAATTAGTAAATAGCGCCATCAATATTATAAAGCACGCGGTTTTAATTTTGCTTTTTTAAAAAGAGAAATAGGACAGAATCAACTTGTTTGTTTATTATTTAACATTTGATTACAAGAGATTTTGATCCTCTGCTTTTATAAGTCAATTACTGGTGAATTTTGCAGGGGAACACATTGATGTCATACAGTATTTATACTATAGTTTTTTTTTGTTTTTTTGTTTAGCTTAAAGAGCTTAAATACCAAACGAGAATTGATTGCAATTCATCTCACAATACTGTACACATTTTGTCCGACATTTTTCCTTTGGAAAAGGTGATACAAAATGTCACTACATTGTTATGTAAATAGGCCTATAGTCATTTGACAATCTAAAGTGCAGAGCAAAAAAACTCATCACTGCTACACATGATTTTGTATCTTTGTATACTTGGCTTCCATCTCTTAATTCGTCATATTACAGCTTACCTCATATAGATTAAAAATCATATAAATTGATGTGAGGATCTGAAAGAATGTATTTTTCATACGTATACCTGATTCCGATTTGGCCCACTTCTTTTATAACCATAGTTTGAAGACAAAACACTACGAGAATCCATGCACGAGGGGGTCATGAGTATAAATTTAAATTTTGAGGTGCGAATTTTCAGGTGCGACTGTAATTATTCAATAGACTTCGGTAGTTTACGTATAGAATTCATGTCGATGGTGGTGGACGTTGCTGTTTGACCTATCAGACGCAGGAAACCGTGATAGGGGGAAGCCTGTGCAACTTTGCAGGCCTAGCATAATTATTATGTTTGTAAAAAATGAAACCAATGCACTGAAGTCTGATAGTGTTAAGCCTGTACACCTTGCAGGCATATAGCATGCTAAATGTCTGTTTATTGGTAGTGCAATTTTGGCGAGTAAGGCTGGTGTTCCATCGATTGTCGTGGTTGCCATGAAAAGGTTAACCCGACCCAGAGGTGGCAAAAGGCCGGATGGCAACGGTCCTCGGTAGCAACGGGCCTATGCTGGAAAGAGGTCAGGTGACAACGGGTCTAGGGTGGCAAAAGGCCGGCTGGCAATGCCCTAGGTAGCAAAAGGTCAGATAGAAAAAGGCCGGGTTGCCACGGGCCAGGTGGCAACGGGCCAGAACCCATTATCAATGATCATATGTGAAAGTTGGGAATGTTAGCCCTGTGTGATATACGTTACTAGGCCTACTTTACATATGTCTACTTCACATATAATGATTAATTTACTCGCCTTCCAGCAGTGCATCTATCTATGCTGAACATACTACGTATAACATCCTAAACATACTGTACGCATACACACATACTTATTGTACATACCCAAGCAGTGAAATTCGGTTTAAAATTAATTCATTCTATCAGCACTCTTTTAACAGACTAGATAAACCATAAAAACCTAAGGCCATACTTTGCCTATCCCTTACAACTTAGTAATCCTTGCAATATTAGGTTTTGGTTGACAGTTTCGATTACCTTTAAATCATCTTGTATTTTTTTTTTTTTAATTTAGGAATGTTTGTTGTGCAACTTTTATAGTATGTTATTCAATTATATTTCTATATTTTTATACTAATAGTGCGTTTTAAGGAACCATATTTCATAGCCGTATTTTATACCGTTATGACAATAAAGTTTATCGTATCGAACATACATACATACCCATATCCACGTACATACACGCAATCACACCCACACACACCTAAATGTGCCTGTAGGTACGCAGGTTTGTCTATTTTAATTCCATTTATTGCAGTTCTCCATCGGAGTTTTCTATTTTTAATCTACTACTGCTCTCTTTAACGTAAAATTAAAATACATGTACATACATAATTTCATACTTCAAAGGAATTTAACCATGTGACAATCACCATTCTGATAATTATTGATTTCATATTTGAACTTTGCATGGTTTTTTCGTAAAGTGTCTATTGGTGGAAGTTACTGTTTTACTCTGCCATATAGTAAAATCATCTACGGTAACTGAAAAATGAGGGCAGTCTTTTGATTTTCTAGATTATGTGTTATTGATGAATCGACGATCTTGCAAACTTGAATAGAGTGGTAGGCCTTGCCTTCCAATTCGCGTAGTGGATATAGAAATGGCTTTTGAAATAGCGCTTGATACATCAAGTTTAATGAATTGATTGTTGAGTGATTGATCAATTGACCGACTGACAGCTTAAACTGATTGATTGATTTATAATGATTAAGGGATTTTTTTTTGAAATTCGATTGATGTAATAATTGATCGATTTGTTTGAGTGTTTGATTGATCTATTGATTAATTGACTGATTGGTTTGTTGATAGAATGATTGCTTATTAGTTGACTAAATTATTGTATAATTTATTTGATATTGATAATTGATTTTCTTTAATTTGGCTGATTATTAGTTGATTAGATATATGCGTTTCAAATAATTAATAAGGAGGCACACATTAGAAATTTAGTATTTTGCTCCCTACTACTATTTTAAATTGATACGATATAAAAATGTATTTTGTTGTACAAGTATTTTATAAACACATGTTAAAATTGATTATTTTATCTCATCACAGAAAATAAAATGTTTAGTGAATATATTAATGAAAATATATACGAAAATAAAAAATAAACAGAGTAGTTACAGAAAATTAATTATTAACCGGAACCATTTTTTGTCGATTTTGATTACAAAGCAAACTAATAAAAATTCTCCACCAATAGTTACGTTGAACTCTGAAAATTGGACTTCTTCGATTCGTTATCATAACAGTTATAGCGACCTCTATGATTTATTTGATGTGGAAAAC